GATTTTTCTTCAAAGCGTGAGTTGATATTGTTGGAAGAGTACAAAAACTGCCTTCCAGAACAGAAAGCCTCAACCTTACAAGAGGCAGCTGTCCTGGCTGAAGAATTTGCCCTTACTCACAAAAATGTTTATTTTTAAAGATTTTCTTTTTCAAAGGGGCTGCCTTGTCTAAGGCAGTATGCAGAGAACTAGTTACCCCATCAACAAAATCAACAACCTGTGTCATAATCCTGGCGCTGATAGTTGGGTTTTTTCCTCTGCTCCTGCTCACCTGCCAAATTGGCCCTGTGGCTTATTACTGCCAATCGGATTCACCTGTTCCCTGCAGCTATTTAGGCTGTTTGTTTTCCTGCCATCAGCTTGGATTATTTAACATGTGTCATTGTGAGTTACCCAAGCTGTCAAAGTAAATGTTCTGTTCTGTGGAATTCTTCTCAGTTTTTTGCCCATGTGTTTTTGGTTTTTGCCTTTTTCCCTGTCTGTCCTGCTCAGTTTGGTTTTTGGCCTGACTGCCTGGATTTTGCCTGTGATCAAACTTGGACTGTTTTTCTGACCTTGGCTTGGATTCTCCCTGGATACCTCCTCGGCTCTTGGATCTCCTGGTTTCTGACACTGCGCCGGGGCTGGCTCCCCCACACTCTGTTCTCTGAGGCGATAATGACCGCAAGCGGTGGGCTGTCTCCCCCCCGGGTTTCTCCTCTCTGAGTTTCGGACTGAACTCTCAACCAGGTCAGTGACTTTTTGTTGTCTTCTCCACTCTTCATTCTTGTCTCTGACCTGAGTTTCCTGTCTCAGCAGAGAATCAGAGAACCCGCTCTGAGGAGTTTCCACCGTCCTCTTTCAGTTAATTTTTTAAATAAACCTGTTTTGAAGCTTTCTGTTTGTCTGCTGAATATTGGGTCCAACCTGTCCCGCGGCGCGTTTTGAGCAGCAGGCGCGGCACGTCTGAAGCAGAGCGTCGGGAGCGTTTAATCATCTGATGCAGTTTGGATTATTTAGATGAAAAACACCTACCAGCTGCCGTGGTGAACCGCGAGGAGGTGACCCGGCCAGAGG